GGAATTGTTTATTTCATTAGGTTATTGGTAAGAGCTGGCCCCTAGAAGCTAGTCTCTGGCTACAAACTCCCAACAGCAAGGACCATTTTCTCTGGAGTCCCCCTGAACAGTTTCAGATGTTACCAACCGTGCCATACAGTCTCCTATATGTAGCCTTCCACTGGTACCACTGTGTATCTAAATTTTGATCAAGTTTTGGAGTAGCTGAGACTATTTCCAAGCAAAAGGCAGCCAGGAAGAGTGAAGGATTCATGTCTCAAAAACCTAGAAAGACAAAAGAAATGAGGATTTGATAAAGCCAATCCATTAAAAAGGCCATCTTATTCTCTACTGAAAGGTTGCAGCCACCATGATGGACTAGAAAACATTAAATTATCTTTCCAAGAATAAACACAAGGACTGTGGAAAGGCTGAGGATGTGGGTGGTGAAAAACAGGCCATACCCTTAGGAAAAAAGAAGAGTATGTGATTCAGCCACCAAAATGAAAACCAGCCTGACAAGTGCTATAGGAACTGAAACAGACTTCACTTTAACAGTGCAATAATAATTTAGATTTTTATAAGGGTCTCATGGTACCTATAGGTCAAAATATTCCGGCAACAACCAGGAAACATGGAACGATTGGTCCAGGTTATTTACCGACAGTACCGAGGTCGCCCAAGTAAAACCTCACTAATGAGGACGTCTGATCCCAAGTAGGGGCAAAGGGATCCCCAAGAGTTGGGAGGTCACCTCACACCTTCTTGACTAATGCATGGCAGGTGAGATATGTCTTTCAACCTCCCCTTCTCGAATGAAACCTTTCTGGAATGCCTCCCCAGGAGAAACTGGGAAGAAGAGCACCCACTGCTCCGGCGGACCCACGCTTGGGCCTGTGTTGCCAACACTCCTATTCACTCCCCTACACCGGGGACAGGGCCACGTGGCCGCGCCGCTGGAAGCCAGAGTCCCCAGAGCCAGTGCCAGGACAGGAGCAGGCAAGTCCCGAGGCTCCGGGCTAGCTACTGGGGCGGGGACATGCCGCCTGCTCCCGCCCTCTGCACGCGCCTGCTGCGGCCACAGGATGTTTGCGGCGGCCCGGCGGCCCGGCGTGCGGGGGCGAGCCGCTTTGTCTGACCCTGCCGGGCCCGGAGACAGCGCGGCCCGGAGGCGGCTGGGCTGCTATACCTGTTCCTTCTGCAGCCCGAAATCTGACTGACGTACACAACCTGGGAACCCCCCCTCACCCCAAGTGGTGTCGGTGCCTCCCTGGGGTCCCCAACCGCCCTTCCCCATCTCCCCACCTCAAGGCTGGCAGAGCTCAGGGCGGACGTTCTCGTTCTCCCTCCTCCACAATGTTTCTGCATGGGGTCCCTTCCTCCAGTCCCAGCTCCCGCCGCAGCTCCGCCTGGCCGGGGGCGCTCACCTGCGGCGCTCTTAGCTGCGCAGGCGCACTCTGCCGATGCAACTTCAATATTGCTGAGGCCGGGGGATCTGGCCCGGGGGAGCCTGACTCCGGCTTTAAGGCCTCAGGAGGCCGGCACCGCCCCCACAGTCTACCCGCGCTGCTATTGGCTGCGCCTGCAGCTGGGCGGGGACTCCGGGCGCCCTGACCCAGCACGTGACGCGACCGAGTGCCTAGCTGTCCCGGAGCGGGTGCGTCTGCCTCAGTGGATCCGGGAGTAGGGACGCTGGGCACTTTGGGGCTGTGCAGAGGAGGGTCAAGCGCCTCCCTGGAGGATCAGATCCACTAAGTACCGCGACTTAATGCGCTGGGTGGGTGGTTCATAAAAAGAAGTTAACAGCGAGCCCGGTGTGGATTTTCAGCCTGACCCTGCTTTTCCTTTAGTCCTATAGTTTTTGGTTAAAATATCTTGTAGGGCTGAGAGCTTACTAGCTATGCTAGTGGCTCCTGTTTGATTCACAGCAAAGGTGGAGTCGGGTGGAGGAATGCAGAACCCAAGCGCAGAAGCATTATCTCCGCGTTTCTGGTGGGAGGCAGCTGGGTTCTAGAAGA